CGATGATAACGCGACAGGCTCTTCTTCTCTTGTCCACGATGCTTGCTGTTCACATCGGGTGCACACCGCAGCAGACTTTCGTTCAAAATAAGGTTTAGAGAAAGAACCATCTTGGCTGGACTCCAGTGGGCAAAAGAGGAAGCTTGGATGCTGTTCTTGATCCCCCCAAAACGGTATCGCTTCCCAGTTTTTTGCCACACGTGCCTAAGTGGAGTCAGAGAGTGGGAACGTCCAAGACAAGAGGAAGTCACCAACAATACAGGAGATGGAAGGTCACGAATAAGAAAGGCAGTTAAGGTGCAGGGTGGAGGTAGCTCATTTAACTGTGTTGGAAATCAGAGCAAAAAGACAGTGGGATCTGAGCTTCCCTGGAGCTTAGTGGGAAGCAAAGCAGGAACACGAGAGCCTGCTGAGTGCTGTGCACAGGCAGAGGTGACTACTCTGTGGGGGAGGCAGGAGATCAAAGCTGATTCAGACTCTGTGGGTACAGAAACACTGCTGACCTCAGCAATGAGGTGTGTGTGTGTGTGTGTGTGTGTGTGTGTGTGTGTGTGTGTGTGTGTGTGTAAGTGGGGTGTGTGGTCATGTGCTCCTTAAACCTGTAATACTGTTTAGAGACGTAATACTCCTAGGCATGGAAAATTTGGTGACAGGTGCATTTCTTTTCTTGGATTGGCTGCAGAGTAGAGAGGGAGAAAGGGGAGGGAGGAGGGAGGTCAGTCCCCAGGACTCTGTTCTCCTATCTTCAGCAGTCCTGTTGGATAAGCAGCAAGCCCTAGCAGATTTCCACACGATGGAGCCACCTATACAACGTGAGCGGTCCAGGGATCCGTGCGCCAGATACGTGTACAGCCGAGGTCCTGCATGGTCCCCTAAGCCCACACTGTGTGATGTGTGTAGGTGCAGAGCAGCAGGGGACCCTGGGGAGGCTCTTCTTGAACAAGCAGCTTTGTACATTACGTGGGAAAGAGGGGTAAATGCCAGGCAGGTCTCTAACGCCAGTCACTGGGTCCCGCCGCCGCCCGCTGCCCTCTGCATGGCCCTTGGGTTTCTCCCAGGGGTCTCTAGGGGTTCGTGCAGCACGTGGACACGCAGAGGCAGGGAGACTATTTTGGATTTCAGCTCTTGAGCCTTGGCCATGGAAGATGGTTCCGATTATGTTTAATGGTTGTTGATCTAATATCTGGCTGGCGAGGATATTTGTCCCTGATGGTCTGGCAAAGCTTTCGGGTCTGCAAACACTCACTGCTGTGGCCTCCGGCCCTGAGCACACTGTGGTCACACTGTAGGAATGTGACAGCTGGGCCGTAATTTTAGTTCTGCTCATTTTCTCTGTGAGTGATTTTATAAACCCAACTTGAAAAATTTATCTCAAAAAAAGTCGCAGCATTTTTTTTTCTTCTCAGCACATAGGATTCCAGTTATACATCTAGTTCTGTTGTTGAACTGCACTAATGAAGTTGGTGAATTACAAGAATGCCAAGTGTGTTTTACTCAAGGACAAGCAGAGTGGGAAGGGAGAAGATGCCAGGACAGGGTCCCACACATCAACCACTCACTGTGCGGATGCGTGCAAGTGTGGCTACCTTGTACTCACGGTGATCAAGGACAGGTTAAGAAAAGGATCAGAACTGGGACTTAACTGACACAGTCTGGCTGCGACAAAACAGTCTTTCTTTAATAGAAATTACCCCATCTACAGCAATTTATGGAAGTATAACCTGCAATCACAAAAAATGTTGGTGGGGTTACTGTTTTGTAACTCTAGAGACATCATCTCTTGTTGGATTTTTTTTTCACTTTTCCCAACTTTTAAAAAGAAACAGTGAATATTACTTTAGGAGTAAACACACCAGGTGTGGCCATTAAGTCTGTAATTCCAGCAGCTGCTCAGCCACTGAGGCCAGAATAGAAGCCAGCCCAAGTTAGCAAATTTCAAAACCTGAGGGCTGTAGACGAGAGGCAGGAAGGGTCTGGGTTCAATCTCCATCACAACAAAATCAACACACGGACGGTGGTGCACGCACACACACACACACACACACAGAGAGAGAGAGAGAGAGAGATAGAGAGAGAGAGAATAGAGGAGCAGAAAAACTGTATTTCTCTTTATTAATTTCCCTAGTTGTAAGAGCAGCTACCGTTGTTGTTGTGTTCCCGGTTTTAGTGGACATTTCTGGGACTTTGCCTAAGTTGTGGGTTTTGCATGCCTGGTCTGGTAGCATGCACGGAAGACCCCTTTGTTGCCAGCCTATTTGGTGTCTTTATAATCACGAGGAGGTCTAATTTATGTGTAACTTTTTTAGTCCTGGTGAGATGATCATGTGGTCTGTGCTTTACTTAGCTTTAAACTGAATCAGATGAACTTTTCTTCTTTTTGTGGTGGTTTGAGAACAACCCCCATGCATGTCTGAGTTCTTGGTCTCCAGTTGGTGGAAGTGTTTGGGAAAGATCTGGAAGCATTACTAGAGGACGTGTGTCACTGGCAGGCCTGGAGGTTTCAAGAGAGTGGTGCCATCCCCAGTGTGCTTTGCAGTCTGAGAAGCGACTCCTCAGCTATTCCTTTGACTCCCCCCCCCCCACCATGGACTTTAACCTCTGAAGACTGCAAACTAATCATACATTTTCTTTTGAAAGTTACCTTGGTCATGGTGTTTTATCACAGCAAATAGAAAAGTAATCAATACAACGTTCCACCAACTTTACTTTCCTGGTAAGCACTACTTGGTCACTGTATATACTCCTTTCAAGGATGTCCAACTTTCTGACGTGGTATCACCATGCCATCTTCAAATGTGTTGGGCTGCGTTCATCTCTCTCCTTGGACACTTATGTAGGCTGGCAGCTACTTGTGGATCCGCTTGCTTATTTCACGTTCACTAAATGGAGAACGCAGACGCGGCGGCGATGGACAACCTTGGTGACAGGAACACGTTTTATCTGTGCTGCGCTGCGCTGCTAGCGCCACGCATCCACGCTGTCTCCTGCAGAGCTGGCCAGCAAGGCAGTCACTACAACCCCACTCTCACCGGCAATATCTCTCTCCTCCATTCCTGTACCATTGCTGTAGAGACGGGACAATAGCCAGACCCGAACCAAGCCAGGGTATTCAGAAAGCAGGGAAGCTTGCCCAAGATGTCCACGGAGCAATGACTCAAAGTTAATTTCATTGTTCGTTTTCAATGCCAAGAAGCATATTACCAACAGCACGATCACTGCACAGTCTAACCTAACACTAATATTTTCAGAGCATGGTTAGCAATGAACAAGTGGTACTAATGAAGATTAGGAAGTGGTTCCTAGACTTGGATCAGCTCCTTACACGGAAACAAACCCTTCCCCAGGTCTGAAGTTGGGAGTTAGAGAGCTATTGGGAGTTAGAGACCTAGCACCCCTAGCTAGGGAGCTATCGGCAACTGGCAGCTCCTGGTAGGACAACCATGCTTTAGTGAGTGGGCAGCCCTTGAGGTTTTGTTTTGTGTTTTTTTGGGGGGGGTGGAGAAGGGTTAATTGGGTGGGCATAGAAGCAGAGGCGCATCTGAAAGGAGTTGGGAAAGGAGAATTAATGCAATAAAAGTAACATACACAGTTCTCAAAGAAGTAATAAAATGCAGAAGAAAGAGAAAAAGGACTCAAAGTAAATGGAAGGCCATCAGCTCTGGTCTGTTCTCTCCTTCCACCTCTCTGTGGGACCCCAAGATGGAGCTCAAGTTGTCAGGCTTGGGCATCTCACAGGCTTTCTTCCAGTTACTAAGAAAGAATTTATGTATATAGCGTGTTCGTCAAGCATAAGCCAATAAAAGCTTTAAGATTCACTTGCTTAAATTATATATAAGAACACGGAGTTGTAAATCCAAGTTATAGTTTTAATTTTTTGACACTCAATAATTCTTTTAATAATGTATTTTTCTCCTAAAAATTGTTACTGAAGGCCCAGAGAAACGGCCTAGTGGATAAGAATTCTGATTGCTCTTCCAGAGGACTTAGATTCAGTTCCCAGCACCTGCATAATGGTGCACAACCATCTAACCATCTGTGACTCCAGTCCCAGGGAATCTGACGCCTTCCTGTGGCCTCTATGGCCCTGCATCTACATGGTACACAGACATACATGCAGGCAGAACACCCATAGACGTGAAAATAAAGTCTCAAAATTATAGCGTTCTCTTACTGTTACTGTAGAATTGATTCACCTTTATCGGGAACTTTGTCCTCCTGTGGCTTTGAATTGATGTGTAAAGTCCTTTTACTTCACTGGTAAGTGGGATCCCTCCAGCGTTTCTTACAGGGCATGTCTGCTGGTAATGAATGAACTTCCTTGGCCTTCCTTACCTAGGAAGTCTCAATATCCCCGACATGACAAGGGTGTTCACTAGATGCAGGATTCTCTGTTGGCAGGAACCTTTTCTTTCCATCGATTTAGTCTGTCAGTCACTGCGGGTATCCTGGGTTTTGAGCCACTTTTTTTCTCCGCTGTCTCTAGGATTCAGCCTGGTTTTGGCTTTTGACGATATTGTGGATGAGCGAGGATCCTTTCAGTTTGTTGTGGGAGCTTGCTGAACACAGACGCTTATATATCTTTTATCAATTTTGTAATCTTTTCGCCATTATTTCTTTAAACGTTTTCCTTGATTCTTTTATCCTTGTCCCGAGAGCCCTGCATGCTGGTCTGCTTGACAATGTCCCATGGGTCCTGTGATCTCCGTTATTTTTTTTTTTTAAACCTTTTGTGGAGATAAGATCTTGTCACCTAGGCTGCCCTGAAACTCAGACTCCTAAGGTCAAAGCATTTCAGGTTGTAAAGCATCAGTGGAATGTACCTTGGCCTATTGGAGTGTATGTATCACACTATTGCAGCAGATTTTACTAATTTAATGAGCTTTGCCCTTTGATCTGAAACATCACAAACAACGTGCGAACCTTGTGACCCTCTTCCTTGTTGGTTACTCAGTGGGTGAAAAGCAGAGAGTGGTAACGTGGCCACCCACTTTGTGTTACAGCTCGTCTCTGCCACCTTGGATGGGAAACTTCAGCTGTTTGTGGTTGAGTGACTGCTGACCTGCTGGTAAGAATACGGCAAGAAGCCAGAGAAAGAATTCGTGACTTAGCCATCGAGACAGGCGGGGCAGTTTTTGTAGGCCCCCTTGTTGGATCCCCCCCTCCACTTCCCTCTCCTTAAGCAATCCCTCACAGAGACAGTGGGGACAATGGCTCATCTGTGCAGATACTCTATGGTCAATAAAGATGAGCTAGTGTCTGTTTCATGGTCGTACCTGGAGAGGAGGTAGAGAGGGCGGGGCCGTGAAGCAGAGCTGGACGCTACAGAAACCAGGCCAGCTTCTTCTGTACTCTGTGGCTTTTTTTTTTTTTTTTTTTTTTTTTTGCTTCATGCCTGCCACTGTGGCAAGCTGCGCTTGAGGGTGCAAGGTGGCAAGGATCCATGGCCCTATGCTGTCCACCTTTGACGCCCCTCTTTGGTCTCCAGGATGAACAAGGCCCAGGGGACAAAAGATGGACAGCCGTACCCAGTGTGGTCTTCTCCTCCTCTAAGAGAAGGTCCTCATGATTGCTTTGGTATTTGAAAGATAAAATGATTCATATTCTGGGGAATATGTCATGGGTTTGCTCAACACTGGCACATCGTGTGTTTGAAAACATCAAAGCAAGAATGTGGTTGTGGTCCCAAGCCTGGCCACAGAGGGACTTGGCCCAGGCCTTCTGGAATAAGCAATTTCTGTTCATTTTTCCCGTTCCCTTGAAAGGTCTTCTTTGCAGATGTGGGCCTCATTCTTTTCACCCAGTTCAAACAGACTACTCTGCATTCCAGTCCTGTTTTGGGAGGGAGCTGGCCTTTCCTGCATAGCATGGCCATTTTCCTGTTCCGTGCCTATAACAGGTGGCTAGCAGAGAATAGACGAAGTGTGCATACAGGTACAGGTGTCTGTGGGTCTCAGGGACACGTGGACCCCAAGCAACAGCCCCCACCCCCCCCAGAAGCTCATTCTTGATATTGTGATGGAATTGAACTATTGGCTTGTTGGTGCCTGCCCACGGGAATCTCTCTTATGAATGTGTTCTTCAAGAGAAAAGGAGTGGCCATGCATGCCTTCACTCCCCTTAATCTTTCCCCCTTCATGTCCTTTATTTTCCTTTTTTTTTTTTATTACTGACCCAAGTTTACTCATATTCTAATTATGATCAAATTACTTTGCTTTGTTTCTACTGTGTGTCTCCCCCGGTTATTATGCTGCGGCGTTAGCTCAGCCCCGAGCTCATGGGAGCTGCCAGCCCCAGAGAGGTTGAGAAAGCTGCATTAACCATAGGAGGATTTCTTTTCAGTGGAAATTTTCCCCACATGGGTAGGTGACAGTTTGTGGTAGCTGTTGAGGCTCTTAGTCTCTCGGGGCATGAGGCCCCAAGTTCTCTCCCACTCACCGATACCCAAGTCTTACTAATCTACTACTGCACGCACTTGAATTCGTAAAGAGTGTGTGCCTCTTTTCATCTTGTCCTTGATGGCATCGTGGACTCCAGGAGGGCAAGAAGTGGATGGGAATAGCACAGGTGGCTCAGAAGAGAAATGGTGCGCGTTTGGCCTGCCATCGAAGGGGTTGTCTGAAGTTGCTGAAGTTGATCGGAAGACTGAACATGCATGGAGACGACGGTCACTCGAGTGGGGTCAACCAAAGCAGGAAATCAGTGAAACTGACAACGAAGGCGGAGACAAGATGGCCGTGCCTGGGCCTGGGCCAGCAAGTCTGGGAAGGGCATGCAGCCACCTTGCACTGATCATTTTATGACTCCTGACTTGATTTTTTTTTTTTTAAAGTTACATTTATAAAAGCGTTGCGTTCTCCCTTTGGATCCTGGAAAAGAGGGTCAACTTTTACCTCTTTCTAAACATGAACCGAGGGGACCTGGCACTCAGTGTACTGGGGCAACGCAGCCTCCCAGTGGGCCCCACCCAGGTCGGCACCAGTTAGTCTGCAGTGCGTAGAGGGCTGGGACAGAAAACACCTTTCTCATGAGGGCGAGCAGCTCTTCTGTCCCTTACCTGTCGCGTTGGGTGGGGTCAGAGATGACAAGCCACAACCACAGGGAATAGCGGTGATTCCCACAGAGCCCGGGCCTTTGAAGTCACAAGGCATGCTGCCATTTGAATCACGACAGGAGCTGTTTACAAGGGGGCTTCAAGTTGAGTTGCCGTGGACTGCAACAACTGGGACTCCACTCCCCCAAGAGAGTGAGTAGTGAGCCCAAGACTCTGCCCCTCCCCGGCCTTTGTGAGGACTCCATTTCCTGGAGGAGCCATCCGCCACTTCAGACTGGTGTCAAGGATCTCACTTCTCTGACTTTCCCCTGAGAGCACAAAAGAGGAGAGGCTGACGAGTGCCCATTCTGGAAGGAAGACGTCAAGATAAAATAAACCGTACTGATGCAAATTTAAATTACTGAGTTAGTATCTAACCCCAAACACTCAAACACCATATCAACTTTGGATTCAGTAACGGCATCCTCTTTGTCACTCTACTTTTGTCCAAGTATCATGTAGATAATCTTGTGGTTTGAATCTGAAGTATCTCCGCAAGATGATGTCTTGGACACTTGTTCCCAGTTGGAAGCACTGTTTGGGAACATACGAAACCTCTAGAAGATAGGGCTTGGCTCTTTGGTTACTAAGGTCAGTGTCCTGGCTGGTTTTATGTCAACTTGACATGAGCTAGAGTTATCCGAAAGGAGGGACCCTCAATTGACAAGGTTTTTGAGTTCAAGTGTAATAAAAATCGTTTTGCACCATTATAGAAATATTAACAGTCCATATCCATGATAGCAAAGCAATCACATTCATTGTGTCTGCATCCTCCTCCTCAAGGAGACCATTTCTGCTTTCTGCAGTGTCTGTAGTGTTTGTTTTTGTTCTTTTTTTTTTTTTTTATCTTTTAAACGAGGACAGGGCACCAGGCCTTCAGCGGTCACCCTAGCAATTCCTCTGCCATCTATGGTGATCTCTCAGACAGGGAATGCTGCTTAATTAGTGTGGGTCAACAGCGGGTCCGCTAAAAAATCTGGAGTTGAGAAATTTTGGCAGCCAATTGCGTATGAAGCACAGGGTTGAATAATTTCGTCTGCAGGGACAGGCTAAAGGCTCCCTTTGAAACCTAAAAAAGGACCCTTGCTTGGCATTTTGAGATCTTCCCGTGCTTCGTGTTTTACTTCCTCCCACAATCATAGAACACAAAAACTAAAGGAAAACACTTCCCCCTTGCACCTACAGTCAGTCCCAACTCTCTGGTGCTACCTGGAGGTGTCTGTCTGCACCCAGGCCTCAGGTTACCCACAAAGCACCGCTCTCCCCAGGAGGCCCAACCTTGAGCTGTGGGGATCCCCTTACCCCCTGATCATAATGCTAAGTGACAGGACTTCTTTCTAACTACCCACTCCGGACACACCAGCCTGTGAACCCTGGAAAGGTGCTCAAGGCCATGACTCCCATGTCGTGTGGTGTCCCCAGCTTCCTGCTGGGCCTGAGCACACCAGCTGAGGCTCATGCCGAGTTTCCTTCGTGATCACCGCTTACCGGGAAAGGCCTAGGGAAGCCTCCATCATTGATGGGCTCTGCAGCAGAGAGACTGAAGCCCAGAGGAGATCTTTCTTCTTCAAGGAAGACGCAAGCAACCGAGTTAGAAGACTTAAGGAACGTATCTACAGCTGTCATTCGTATAGGACAAGGTCACCCCCCCCCTTTTTTTGGCAAGCTTTGTGGTTTTTTTCTCATCCAAGAGTGAGTATGTGGGCCTTTACTTTTGAATAAGACAATACTTGTAGACGAAAAGTTTCTGTGTCACCAGGTCCTTCAGCCCCAAATAAGCACACAGAGACATATCAATTATTAAAATGTTGGCCGATGTCTCAGGCTTCTTATAGGCTATCTCTGTCTTAATTATTAACACATTTCTATTAATCTATGTATTCCCACAGTTACAGCTGTGCTCACTGTTTGAGCTGTGAGACCCAATAGGAGGCCCGAGACACAGGGGTTTTCGTTTGTGCGAGGATGGTGGTGTGGGGAGCTCACAGAAGCCTTTCTGCCTCAGTCTCCAGAACAGAGAATTAAGGTCAACACTTCTCCTCCCTTGTGCTTGGCCAGAAAAATCTGTCTTCATTGTGAGAGAGGCAAGGCTTCTTCCTTCTTGCTCCTGAGGGATTTTCATTCCAAGATGATGGAGTGAGCAGTAAAGCTGGTTAGTTTCCACATTTTCAGGAATAAAAGCTACAGCACTGTGTCATTTTTAACTTAAAACATTTTTCCTTTAGTTTTTAAATTGTTTTTTTTTTTTGAGAGTATAATATAATCATACCCTTTCCCATTCCCTTTGGTCCTTCCAAACTCTCCCATAAGCCGGGTGGCACACACCTTTAATTCCCAGCACTTGGGAGGCAAAGGCAGGTGCATCTACGTGAGTTTGAGGCCAGCCTGTTCTTCAGAGTGAGTTCTAGGGCAGGCTCCAAAGCAACACAGAGAAACATTGTCTTGGGGGAAAAAAACCCAAACCAGACTCTCCCACAATACACCTTGCTTTCCTTCAAATTTATTGCCTCTCTCTCCCTCTTTCTCTCTCTCTCTCTCACATACACTCACACACACTCATTCACACACACACACACACACTCATTCACACACATACACACACTCATTCACACACACACACACACACACACACACACACACACACACACTCCTAAATACACAGGTACAGTCTGCTTGGTCTGTACAATGTTATTTGTACGTATGTTTTCAGGGCTGGCCATTTGGTGTTGGATAATCAATCAGTGTGCTCTTCCCTGAGGGAAAAACTATTCCCCTCCCTCTCAGTGTTCTTTGGTTGCATGTAGTTCTTCATGTAGGACTGAGGTCTCGTGGGCTTTCACTGTCCTTATCAGCACGTCTGTGGTTGTCCTGGTCCAGCTCATGTTTAGGCAGTCATGTTGGGCTGGAAGGTCTGTGTGCTGTGATGACACAAACTGTTCAAGACAGGAGGGGGTGGGGGTCAACCCAGTATGCTTCACTCATCATCT